GAGCAGCTAAGGGCCAGAGCTTCGTTGGAAGTCCTGCCTGAAGCAAGTTCGCCCGTGTGCCCTCGAGCACAGTTCGAATCTCTCTCTCAACAACAGACTTGCTCTCATCGACGTAAGGTCGGGAAGTGTTGTGACGAACTTTGTATTTTCCAGTAGCATTCTTGAGTTCGGGGGCATTGTCGGAGTAAATGATCCCTGGTTCATCATCTACAGCGAAGTAGTGCAGCAGGCAATCATAAACCTCTTCCGACTCCTTCGTACCTGCAGGGTACACATAACGAAAGTTAGTGAACACGTCCTTAACCACAAGAGCAACTTTCTCACCCTCGATCCCAAAATCACGCAAGTCCTTGGTCACAATGTGATGAATTGTCACGTGGGCTCCGAACTTCTTCAAAAAGATAGTGGAGCTCCCCCCTCGCTTTCTGGCATGTGGCGCTAGCATTTTGGCCTTTTGGCATACCTTGCAGAAAGGGTTCTTAGGACGATGGGTGAATTTGTGCTCCGGGCTATTGGCCTGCAGCTTGAGCTGGGCTGAACGTTTTTCATCCTTTGGGTCAGCTTCAGCTTCTCTTTCGCTGTCAGGCTCCGGCTCGGGGTCATCAGCAGGTCGTTTAAAGATCGTTATACTGAGAATGCAGGCATCGGAAGGGAGCTTGGCTACCCGATTGTCCAACGTCATAACATCCACATCCTTTTCGACCTCCTGCCATTTCTTGACATAAGTCCAAGTACTCCGGATGACATGCTTTGGAAACCGCGTTGCAGGCGTTCTAAAGGTTTTGGGAAAGTGCCCCACGATCATCTGTGGAAAGGAAGGATGTGAAACCCAACCTGGTTTGTTCAAGTACTCCGCCTTAATTCTCAACGGAGCGGCCTCTTTCAAAGCTTTTTCGATCCTGGGGTCGAGGCCTTTGCCCGAGGATTCGCCTTCCGGCTCGGTTTCTGCTGCATTGGCGTGCCTTAGTAGGCCGCTGAACGGGGAAAACCCGATGTTGCCTGGACGACCGGCGAGTGAGGACAGCGATCGTACCATCCCCAATTACCGGGACTCGCCCGCGCAGCTTGCAGTAAAGTTTCCGGCCTTCGGGCGTCACGAAGTAAGGCGTCTTCCCTGCGTACCAATGGAAATCAAAGCCCTCGTCCATACATCTTCTACCAACAGAGCAAACCGGCGGCGTTGAGTCTAGCACGTAGCACTCGAGGACTTTGTTGATTTCAGGAACCTCTAGCTTAACGGCTTCATTACCTTTTACCGGCCCGTTGGCTGTGATCAACGAAACAGGACGTGAGGCAGGTTCTATGGGTACGTCGGGGAAGTGAGTTCTGCAGTCCGACTTACTGATGAGGTCTTCTTCACTCCCGGTGTCCGCTAGGAATTTTAAGCCGGGGACCAGACCAGCACATGACGGACGTGCAAGTCGCTCGCACTCCTCGCAGAGGAAGCCTTCCTCCGTGCACTCATACCCGCATCCCGCAGGCATGTCGTGTACCATGCACTCTATCATGGTGGCAAACTGCTTTGCCCACACAAGAGCCCTCTTCAGATCCTTAGGATTCGAGCGGGGACACTTCTCGACAGTGGGGTAGACTTCGTCATAAACCCTGGGAAGGTAGGCGTGTTTTCTCTGCTTGCCTTCCGGTTCGATGGCAATCATTTCTACAGTGCTGTCGAAACTCACCTTAGGGAGTTCTTGCATGTAGAAGATCGTTTTACCTACCCACGTGCTGCCGGGTCCTTTGGTTGGGGTCTTTCTCCAGTTGTAGATCTTGTTTCCGACAAATGGAGAGACCGGCAAAACCTGCTCGAGCTTGGCTTGGCTCCTAAGCTTCTTGGGGTTCACAGGACATGAGTTGTCAGGAACATACCAATCTGTTCGGTACTTCTTGTGATGGCGGATGATTTTGTTGCCGGTGAAGTCTACCTCCCAATAGTCCTCATCATGTGACGCTGCCATAGCGAGCTTTGGCGAGATCTTAAGATCCGCTGTAGTCTCGAACGCGATGGCGCATGCGGCCGTCTTTGGAGCCTTGTCACTTGACTTCGCCCGGGGACTTCTCCCTCTGCGCGGAGCTGGGGAGTTGGCCCTGGGTGACCCTGGCTTTGGAGCTGCCGGGGCGGCTTCGGACTTGGGTGCGGGAGCTGACGGCTTCTCGATGTCCTTATGTTGGAACCGACATTTATCACCCTTGTTGCAGTTGCCTTCTTTCCAGAACTTGCAGGTCACGTTAATCTTCTTCTTCTGTTTGTCACCTTTTGGGGACAACGATCTCTTCTTGTGAAGGAAAGGACAATTGTTGCCTCGCTTGCAAGTTCCTTTGAGGAAATCGTAGCATACTCCCTTTGGGCTAGGTGTCCTAGGCTTATTGGGAGACTGGGATCTACCTTTGCTGGGTGATCTTGGCCTTGGGCTCTGTGATCTGCCACGGCCTCCTCTTGAAGAGGGGCTGGAAGTTCGGCCAGGAGACTTTGAGGCAGGGGCACCGTACTTATCCCCGTGAGACCTTGCAATACGGTCACGGTTCTTGCGTTTGCGCTCTCGGGTCAAAAGATCCTTAAGCGACTTCACAAGAAACTTGCACGTGTGCTGATCCGTACCCTCTGATGCCCTGTCGTAAATCCCAAGATCGTACTTAAGCCTCTTGGACTGCCTGAGTTCACGAAGGAAAATGTCTCTCAAGGTCGTTTCGTCCGGTGTGTGGCTGAGTCCAGACATGACAGATTCCCAGTTGCTAATAAACACTGAAAGGTCGTCGTTGATTAACCTTACTTTCAGCAGATCCTCCACGGAGTACAGTGAGCCTACCTCCTCGTTCGTCTTGAAGTACTGATCGAAGAGGTAGAGCACCTGCCGTCCTCGTACCGCCCTGAACTTTGCCGCTTCTGTCTCCTTAAAAATGAGGATCTCTCGGGAAAGTTCTCCCCTAGCGACTTTGGTGAGGGCAGCAAGGAGTTTCGTGTCAAGGGTGAGGAATTTCTCAGGGTCTCGAAGGGATTCCTGCGATGCGTCTTTGTCGTAGGCCTTCATCACCCATTTAAACGCCTCATCAGGAGAATCTGATGCGGCCCTGACCGCCTCCCTAGCTGCCGTTTTCCACGAACGATACGACTCTGGACTTGGGAACTCCGGAAGGTTGATGGACTCTGCTTCTTTTGCTTTGGGTTTGTCAGCATCACCTTTGTTCTCACCCCTCAAGCTTCTTAGGCTTTGGAGGATAGCCATTTGTGTCTCTAGAAGACCTGTGTTGAAAACCTCTGTTCCTGGCGTCCCGGAATCGGCCGCTGGAGGGGCCGCTGTTCCTGGCGGTGCCTGGGAAGGTCCTGCTTTGGGGATTGAAGATGCTGTTGCAGACGGAATGGGCTGAGCATTCAAACCTCCTGGATTCATTGACTCGAACAGACATCTAGCAGCTTGGGGGATAACATTCGGCATTGAGAACATGGGCGCTTGAGGAGCTTTGGGGAAGACAGAGGGACCTGCAGGGGTACTTGGAGCAGGCGTAGGCTGGCTCTTTGGAGCAGCTGGATTGTACTGATCCAAGACCTTCTCTAATGCAGTTTCCGCAGAATCCAATCTGTCCTGAAGCTCTTCGTTCTGTTCCCTGCATTCGGCAAGGGACGCCTCATACTCTTCTTTCTGCCTGTTCCTAAACAACTCAAAGTGTGCTTGGAACTGCTCAACCATGACTTCCTGAGAATTCTCAATGTGCTGTCTTGCCTGTTCTTCGAGGTTCTGTGCAAAGCGTGATTCCGCCAGTTGTTGATCCAATGCGTCTGTGATTCGGCTTTGTTGAAGTTCCGCGAGCTCTTGACGTAACCTTTGATCTTCGTCAAAGGCATGCGCCTGGCTCAAAGTCATTTCAGACAACAGGAGCCTTTCTCGATTTGCTGCCTTGTACTCACTTTGCGCCAAGGCTGCTTGCAGTTCCGCTACCACTTCAAGGTGGTTACGTTCTGCCGTGTGCTTTAAGTCGGCTGTTTGAATTGCGGATGCTTCTTGATAGGTCAGCATGTGTTGCCTGTGTCTAGCTTCTGCCTGAGCTTCTAGTTCACCGACTTCCAGTCTGATCTGGTTAACGTGTACTTCGACACTGTACTGAGGTGCGAAGACGTTGAATTGTTGGACTGAGGCTGGTGCCGGGAAAACAAAGCCGGGGGCGCCGATCCCTGCTTGGCCACCCGTGACCGGGGGCTGGGAAGGGTTCACGGTGCTTGTAACAGTATCCATATTTGCAGGAATAAGTTCCGGTTCGCTCATGCGCTGATTGATTGTATTGTAACCAACCAGATGACCAGGCCGTAGGCTATACGGCTGATAACCTATAGTTGTTGTAAACCACTGCACACACGCACTGTTGTATATACCCGTCCAAGTGATAACTGCACGGCTTGTACCATTCGGTAACTACACCTTGTTACTGCCAGAGCACTTGAGCCAAAATGTCACCACACAACATGCTACTTCACACGTGCACAAATTACAAAAGAAGAGTGAAGGTGGTTGCTTCACTTGCAACTTTACTTGGACAAACCCACTTCTCACGACACGCATGAACCCTCAATCACCAACGGAACCTGATGATGTGCTGAAAGAGGACACTGAACAAGCTTGACAAGAGAGCGATGTTCAGGAAGTGCAGATCCGGTTCGTTTGAACCTCAAAGGCTTTGGGGCTTTAGGGTTTAGGGTAGATTCCCGATCCCAAAGTTACAACCAAACGAAGATTACACATCCGTACACAAACTTGGCATTGTCATAATGAAGTCCCGCTCCCTAGTCTGAGTCGAAGCACCGAGGCTCCTTGGGCTACTGAAACCCTAGTTCACCAACCCTAACCCGCCCTAAACCACAATGCCGCAATGGATTCAACCTTCCTCCGCATTGCAAACCCCTACAGCCGAGACCTTGAACCGTTTAAACCTTCCGAACCCGAAGCCACCGGATCTGCTCTTCAAGTCTAAACTGTCGCCCCACCCCCACCGAGAACGGAAAAGAGAGCCTGCCGGCAGTAGGGCAGAAGAATTTTCGCAAGCAGCGAATCTGCGGCATGTCGAACGTTGAGGGAAGGTATTAACTTGTCTTGGCTGCGAGGTTGAGGGCTCTGGTCTTTAGGACAGAACTGATAACACTCGAAGGTTTGAAAACTTATCTCTCATGTTCTCAACTCCGTTTCGTGCTTCTTCGTATTTCTTCGTAGGCTCGTTGGATTTGGGGCTTAGGCCCTTTTGGAGGGGACGAACCCAGCGCGATCCACGAAGGGGAGCTCCAGTAAACCATGTTGTCCAACATATGAAGGATCTATATTATGAGTCTTATGAGTACCTTTTAGAGACATCTCAACGCCACTTATGAACCATCCAAAACAGTCTGCAAAACTATGGTTCAGGACTTGACCGGCTTAAGGCAAGCATGTGTAGCCTTGAGTGCGACGAGGGGCTATGTAGCGTCAGTATTCTCTTAGATTGCTTGGGGTCTTGGAATAGTCTAGTCATGCCTTCAGGGGAGTCTGCGATGCATAATTAGATCCCTAAGCTTGCATGGTTGGTCATGAATCTAAACTGGCGTTCGGGGTATGGGGAACATAAGGGCCTGCCTGAAGTCCGGGCTATGAGGTCCGCGCAAACCACAGACCGCAAACCATACTCCTCAGACCCTATGATAGCCATAAACCCCAGACCCTCATCAGCGTCGCAGATATCAGGTTACCTCAGAAACGCCATACACGGGCCTTAACACTTAAACCCTAAACTGCGAGTGTGCCGTGAGGAGCGACCTTACAGACTAGTTTATCGGCTAACATCTAAAGTTGATGGTTCATTCTTAGTTTATGGGCGACTTGTGGCCTTAGATGGGATGTTTCTTCTGGTGCTTCGTGCTGCTGGGGATTGAGGCTTGGGGTTTAGGCTCTGGCGGCCGTTTAGATTTAGGCTGACGGGCCTTGCGGCTTGAGGCTGCGGGTTGGCACGAACCGTTATCTGAACTCTGTACTGCTGCTAGGATTAAGCCTTCTGCTGTAAGGTTCCCAAAAGCACTAAACCACAAGCCCCAAAGCTCATGCCTTAGGACCCCCAAAACCCAAAACCCTTGCAGTTCAGCAGGCCAACATCCCGAACCTGTACCTCAAATCCCTCAGCTCCCTTAACATGTCCAGAAACTCCAAGCCCTGCAGACAGCATTCCTAAGCCTCAAATCCGAGTCCCAAAAACCCTTAAAAGCCCAAAGCCAGATTTCTCCAAATTCCGACACTCTAAACTCGGGTCCTATCGACCTGACTGGTACCCCTGCACCACCAGCCTTACACCCCAACCCTAGACCCTAAACGAAAACCCGAAACGCCTGACCAACCCTAAGCCCTCAAACTCTTATCTGATGGGCTCCCAGGCTTGATCTAGTAATGGCCGATCGGTTGCTCGGTGGTGAGAGAAGCTGATCCTCATCCTGGATGCTATAGGGCTTAGGGTATAAGGGGTTAGAGAACCACGTTAGGTTTGGGGTTTACGGTTTATTTGTTAAGGTTCAGGCTGACATTGCTACGCTTTGGGGCTTAGTGTTTAAGCTTTTTTTTAAAGTGCAATGAAGCCCCTTTCTCCAAAGCGGTTTTGGCTTTATGCTTATAGGGTGTAAGGACTGCAAGCTTCTCTGCCGCATAATGAAAAGTGCCTTGTAAGGCCATCTCGTTATCGTATAAAGGGGTCTGCATATCCTACTTCGAAGCTTTTCAAGCATCAACTACGTAATTACTGACATTCTACTACCACAGCTACTTCATATCGGGGTCTTAATCAGAATCATTGGGGGCATACCATATAGTTTAGTGATGAATGATTTAAACTTTAAAAGTACCGAAGGACCACTTCGGTGCGATACTCATGAATCCTCCCTCTGAGTCATCATGCATAAAGGTGTAAGCAACCTTGAAAAAAGCAAGTAACTAACATAGACAGATACGAGATGATACGAACAAAGATGATGCTACACTTGCATGCTGGGCTCACGCGGGCTGAAGTCGTAAAGTGACAAACCCTCAGCCGCCTGTAGTGCCAACGCCAGGGAGAGAGGAGGCTCCCCCTGTGACTCCTGCATATCGGAGTTTCCGGTTCCGGGGTACCTTATTTTGGGGTCCTTATAATAATAGCCTACAATTTAGGGTGCTAAATTAGGGTCCCCTATTTTCGTATATACGAAATCCGACAGCACCTTTGAAGTGGTTCTAGAGGTCTGCAAGGGGTCTAGGGTCTAGAGAGTCTTAAGGGAATGTATAGGAACCTAAATATTTTAAAGCGGTTTCGGGATGTACTACTATAGGCTAGAGGCGCATGTGCTGTACTAGGAGGGGATATTGTCGTGATTGGGTTTTTGTTCAGACCTCTTTGGCACACTGGTGGTTGCCACCCTGCATGACCTAACGCATCCTGAGCGGCAGAGGTTATCGTCCATGGTATGGCCCCCAATAATTGATCATGCCCTTAAACCCTAAGTCAAAGTCCCTATAACAGCGTTTCAAAATCCTGCAACAGCGGCCTTAACAAAAACCGTTATCTTAAAAGAACTTTACTCGCAGTTTGACGCAGACTGCGAGCCTTCTTGGTGTAGGTGTCGATTGCAAAAGTGGGCTTGGTCTCACCCTAAGCCAGCAGGCACAAAGCGCAACCTGTCTACGGTTGTTTACGACCTTAGGCTTTGTAAGGTTCACCCAAAGCCCGAAACTGTTTTTACCTTAAGGCCTCTGAACCCAAAGCCTGCAACTCTATACACCTGAATTGAGCTCTTAAGCCCCACACCCAACCGAGTTCCACCCTGAAGCACTCAACCAACTGAGACTCTACTACCTTCCAAAAACGCCCAGGGTTTTCAAGCCCTCAAACACTGAGCCATAAAGCCTTAAACATGGCACGCGTATTGAAACCTCCTCTAGCACGGAAGCCTTAACGGGACCCCACAGAAGCCCCTTAACTCCCGGCCCAAAGTCGAAGATCAGATTAGATCCTTGGCGCTGTCCAAGCGCGAAACATGGTTGCAGGCAACCTGGTAGTCTGACAATATCGGAATGAGGCAGATATTCATGGAAGGGTTTCAATTCAAGGCACCACGAGGGGTTTCTATAGGGGGGTGGTTGGGGTTTAAGGCTCCAGGTGCTGTGAGGGGTTTCTGTGTTTAGGGTTTCGAAATTTGAGTTTTTCCCGTGTCCTGGATCGTCACAGCTACCTCACCCAAACGTTGCACTACCAAGTGTGCCACACGCTGCGTGACCCTAAACCTTGAGGTCTTAATTGCGAGACTCATATGAGCGTCTATCACAAAGAAGAGCTTCAAGCCTGAAGGTGCTATCCTGAGCACAACAAGGCCCAAAACAAAATCAGGTGGACTAGCGGAGCCTGTAAGTACATAGGGATCAAAGAGGTCAAAGGCTACATGGGTCACCTACTCTGCCAAGAACCCTTACATAATTCAATAATAGCCCTTATACTTGTAACAACCCCTTACAGGACCCCCGAAAAGGTTCAAGGTTCAAGCTTACCTACTCCATTGCTACGAAGGCCTTGACCAAGACAGGCTTCTGCCCGCCGTGCACGCGGACTTCGTAGACTTGAAGAGTCGAATCGAATCTGGCAGAGAGGGAGGGTTCACTAAGTAAGGCGTCTACCTCAATCACATTAGGGATCCTGCTATAATGGAAGAAGGTACCTTAATTAAGAGATATTCGAAGCCTTCGGCAACTAATCCCGTTAAACCTCTGCTGAACAGACCACCACCCTATATTGAACAAAAACAGAGAATTTGAAGCCTAAAATAAACCCTAAACCCTGAACTCAAACCCTGACACGTAACCCCTGATCCGTTGTGGACTTAGGCTTCAGTCAGTCTGGAATCGGGGAAGAACAGCTTCAAGCAGTGCTAGACATAAACAAGGGACCTTAACAATTCGAAGAGGCTTTGGTGTATATGATACTGTATACATGTTTGGAAAGCACTATCAGGTTGTCTTTGGCAGTACCGCTGACTCTTCCGACCCCTGAGTAATCAGGAAAAATCGAAAAGCTGCGGGCCCTGCGTTCCTAAGTCTAAGTCTAAGTAGTCCAAAGATCCATAACCCTAAACCCTAGGCCCTGAACCCATGGACAGACAGTTTTGAGTGTAGTGGAGCACTCATCAAAAGAAAAGAGCCGGGCAACCGCACACCCTCAACCACCTTACAGCCATGAATTGCATAGAGTTCGGTGTTTAGGGTTCAACTTTGAGCCCTACACGCCACTGTTTGCGCAGCATGAATTCCCACATGGTTTGGCCACTTACTCCAATCCAGTGTCTCCACAATCCAGCGCTGATAGTAAGGCATGTTCTCGACCCAAACCCATTTTCGTGGATTTGTAGTCCACCAAACCCGCACGCAACATGTATACTACATGAAGGAACCTCCCGGCAACACATGGCAAAACGATGACAATTGCCCCTCCACCCCACACCCTACAAACAACCCACGGCCTTTGAATGATGCCCTCCTTGCCGTTGAAGTCCGGATGGTCCACCAGCCCTGGACCAATTTGCGGTTTAGGGTGCCGATGTTGATCACTATCGCACAAATTTGTGCCCAATCCTTCCACCATAGTTACAAAATAGCTTTACAAAGTATACATGAAATTAAGATCCATAATACTAAGGAGTATTTAAAGCATATTCCTTAGTGTTGAGGGGTTTTTGGAAGGTCTGTGCGTTGCAGCACCCTGAGCTCTGTCTGCAAGTCTACACAGAGAACTCCTACAAGTCATGCCCAAAAGGCCTCAAAAGCCCGAAAGCCGCAAAGTCGAGAAGCCTGAAAACTTAGTGATAGTACTCCCCATCGATCCTCATCATTATGTTTACAGGAAGAATCCCCCCACCCTGGTCTGATTCTCAAAAGCTCTTTGATTGCACAGCAGACCCGTAAAGGCCTCATGATCAATGTTAAGTAGTGACCTGTTTTGAACCGTAAAACAAGCTTCAAAGGAACCTCTTAAAGGAACCATTGAGGGCCCCCAAACCGTAAAACCCAAAGCCAACAACCCCCCAAACCCATAAACCCTAAAGCCCTACTAAACCCGAAAGAAACCCTCATCGGAAAATCTGGTCAGTTCCATTCCGCACGTGCAGCCTCAGAGTCCGAGGCCCGTTTTGCTTTAAGGCCCCGAAACCATAAACCCTAAACCCTAATCCCTTAAAGAAACCTTTAAAGGAACCCTATCTGGGCACATGGACCCTTAGGATCCTTAGGGAACCAGAAGTCCGACTCCCGAAAATCGCCTGTGAGAACAACGCGCTGGCCAGGCTCCATTGGCTTCTGTGCCTCCTTTGAAGGAACATGGGCTTAGGGGTTTATAAAAGGGTTTAGGGCTTCAGGAGTAAATCCTACGGGTCTAAGTACCCAAGTAGTAGGGAGCTTGATGCTTGAAACCCATCGGAGAATCGAATTTGGGTCCGAAAGCCCTCCTGTTTGGAGTTCCGAATTTCCCAAACTCAAACACCCCGGCCTTCTTCAAGGCCTTTTTTGCGGCCTTGTCGGCACACTTTTGTGCCTTTTCCTGACTAAAAAGCCGGAGGCTGTGGGTGCTGAGTGTCGGCGGGATCGGAGGATGTTGGGGAGTTTGCGAGTGGAGGAGTTGGAATGTGCGTCAAGGTGGGCCTGGTGCTTCTCTCGAACAGGAAACACGATGAGTGAAACAATTCTCGGGAGCCTTGCTGCATGCTGGGGGGATGTGTTTTTGGGGTTTTGTTTCCTTAGCGCTCACCAGCCCAAGCCCAGCATTTGCCTCATTGGCGCCGCGATTCGCGCGTCCCCGCCTTAGTGGCAAATGAACTGGGCAAAGACAAGGTCGCCATCACAGTCGAATGTCACGCATGTCCACGAAATCAGCTATTGACTAGGCCTGAGCGACAAAGGGATAAATAGTTGTGCAACAGAGGTGGGGGGACCACCTCCAGGAAAGCAGCGTGAGTTACGTTGGCAACAACAAGTTCGCCGACCAAACAGCTCGATAACATCAGCAGCCACGCATCTACGACGAACAGTGTACGCGCACATGCTTAATCTCATCTCAGTCAGCTCCAGAAACACCAGAAACGGTCGATTCCAGTACTGAGCAAGCAATGGCAATCAATGAACGTCTCAACCAGCTTCGGAAAGCACCGATTGCACACGCCAAGCTGGGGCGGAGCGGTTTTTTTTTTCCTAGGTCTGGCCCTCCCCGGCTTGCTTTCCTAAGTCTGGCCCACTGGTTGTGGTTGCCAACAGCGGCAACTGCGGTCTTTGCTGCATCAAGCTATTGGGGAACTAGAATTCGACGGCTCTGGTTTTGCTTCTGTTTTGCATGAAGCTATTGGGGAACTACAACTTGCGGAGTCTGATTTTGCTTGTGTTTAGCATGAAGCTGTTGGGGAACCACAAGTTGCAGGGTTCGGTTTTCTTTGTGTTTTGCATGAAGCTATTGGGGGGTTCGCATTTGCAGGGATCGGTGTTGCTTGTGTTTTGCATCAAGCTATTGGGGAACTACAATTCGCAGGGTCTTCTTCTGCTTGTGTTCTGCTTGAAGCTATTAGGGAACTAGAATTTGCGGTGTGTTCATCTGCTTGTCTTTTGCATGAAGCCACTAGGGAAGTACAATTTGCGGTGTGTTCTTGTGCTTGTGTTTTGAATCAAGCTAACGGGGGAACTACAATTTGCGGGGTCGGCCTTGTTTGTGTTTTGCATCAAGCTATTGGGGAACTACAATTTGCAGAGTCTTTTATTGTTTGTGTTTTTCATCAAGCTAATGGGGAACTAGCATTCGCAGGGTCTGGTTTTGCTTGTGTATTGCATGAAGGTATTGGAGCACTACAATTTGCAGGGTCGTGTTTCGCGTGTGAATAGTGCGAAATGCCAATTTCAAATCTTCTGTCTTCTGGCGTTGTTTTTGGGTGTCGCTGTCGACATCTAGGTCATCGTCGTCGTCGTCGTCCTCGTCCTCGTCCTCGTCGTTGCCGTCGTGGTAGTTGTTCTTGTTGTTGTTGTTGCTGTTGCTGGTGTTCTTGTTGTTGCTGTAGGGTTCGGTTTTCTTTGTGTTTTGCATGAAGCTATTGGGGGGTTCGCATTTGCAGGGATCGGTGTTGCTTGTGTTTTGCATCAAGCTATTGGGGAACTACAATTCGCAGGGTCTTCTTCTGCTTGTGTTCTGCTTGAAGCTATTAGGGAACTAGAATTTGCGGTGTGTTCATCTGCTTGTCTTTTGCATGAAGCCACTAGGGAAGTACAATTTGCGGTGTGTTCTTGTGCTTGTGTTTTGCATCAAGCTAATGGGGGAACTACAATTTGCGGGGTCGGCCTTGTTGTGTTTTGCATCAAGCCATTGGGGAACTACAATTTGCAGAGTCTTTTATTGTTTGTGTTTTTCCTCAAGCTAATGGGGAACTAGCATTCGCAGGGTCTGGTTTTACTCGTGTATTGCATGAAGGTATTGGAGGGGTGAGGGATCAAAAAAAAATTAAATAAGGATCAAAAAAATTAAATGGAAAGATCAAACAAATAAAATAAGGATCAAAAAAAAATTAAATCACTCAAAATACAGCAATTCCTGGGGCAGAGGCATCAAAAAAAATTAAAATTAGGATCAAAAAATAAATCACTTCAAATACAGCAATTCCTGAATTTTTCCAAGGGAAAACACTGTTTTCCTAGGGATTTTCTTTTGTTTCCTTAGGATCTGTTTGGTTTTTCCTCTGGAAAACACGATATTCCTGCGGATTCCGTGGTATTTCCCTAAGTTTTCCTTGATTTTTCGTAGGAAACAGCCTATTTTGCTATTACCTATGGCGTTCGTGTCATTTCTTCAGGTTTTCAGAAGGACAACATATGGTTGTTCCTCGGGAAAATCAAATTTTCCTTGCAATTTCACATTTAGGACGGATTTCCTGTTGTAGCTGTTGCTGGTATTCCGCTTCATCATCTATCTTAAACACGCCCCTCATTTGGCGATTCTGGCTCAGCATGTATCTACAAGGGCGGAGACGCCCTCATTTGCTGGGTTTCAAAAAAAGGCATATGCTTCAAAGCAACCCTGCGCGGCTTAAAACAGCGGGGGGGTTGGGGGGGGCGCAGCCCCCCCCATTTGCAGAGACAACGTTCACATGATGGGCTTCGAAAACACTCTTCGAATCAAGCTTGCACGTCTCGAAAAGCGCGGCGGCGGGTGTTTTGTTCTTCCGTGCCTGTTCGTGTCTCTTCTTCCGTTAGCATTCTAACCTATATATATATAACATAGTAAACCAGAAGAACGACATAAGATGGTTCGACAACACAAAACTGGTGTGACATTTTCTGACATAACAGAACCTTGCTTCTTATAGCATATAATAGCATACTAAAAATACAACAATACAACATAACAGAAGATGACATAGAACAAAACAACATCTTAGTTTATAGTGTAGTACATTGTAACATAGTACAATACAGTGTGTATATTTACAACATAATATGTAGTATATTTTATAACATTAGGTTACATTATGTATTATTATATTACGGTACATTACGATATTATGGTAAATTCGATTGGACTATGTAGTATCCTGTTGCTTGTATCTTTGTTTCTGTGATTCTTTCATATTCTTTCTCTTTCGTCTTGTCCAACTTTGCTTTTTTATTCTGGACATCTTTCTTTCTTTCGCTCGTTCATTTCTTTTATTTCTTTCTGTTGTTCTTTCTTTGTTCATCTCGTACTCCCTTCCTTTCTTTCTTGCTTTCTTTCTGGTTTGATTTATTTCGTTCTTTCTTTGGTTCGTTCTTTCTTTCGTTATTGCTTTCGTTCTTTCTTTCGTTTTTGCTTTCGTTCTTTCGTTCTCTCTCTCGTTCTATCGTTCTTTCTTTCTGTTTTCCTTTCTTTCGTCCTCTTTAGATACAGCAGTTTTTGAATTTTTCCCAGTGGAAACACTGTTTTCATACGGATTCGTTTTCATTTCCTGAGGATTTGCTTGGTTTTTGCTTGGGAAAACACGATTTTCCTACGGATTCCGTGGTATTTCTTTAAGTTTCTTTCTTTAGTTCTTGCTTTCGTTCTTCCTCTTGTTTTTGCTTTTGTTCTTTCGTTCTCTCTTTCGTTCTTTGATTCTTTCTTTCTGTCTTTCTTTCTTGCTTTTTAGATACCGCAACCAGCGGACCAGGGACCAGGGGACCGGAGGACCAAAGGACCAGGGGACCAGGACCAGAGGACCAAAGGACCAGGGGACCAAGGGACCAAGGGACCATGGGGCCAGACCTAGCAAGGCCCCCCAGAGTAGGCCAGACCTAGGAAAAAAAAAACCATGGACCCGCCAAGCTGGTTGTAACAAAAAATAACAAGGCCTATTGCCAAAGCTCCCCAGGTAGGTATCGGACGTTTGCCTCGCCTTTTCTTCGGCGAGGAATTTAAAGGCCTCAGGGGTGGCTGTCTGCAAAGCGAATTGAGTAAAGCGTCGTGGCAACGACGCTGTGACGCCGTCATGACCCAGGCTACGCCCCATTACATTAAACCGACATGTCGAGATTCGGCGACGATAGGCGGCGGCTGCGGTGGCAGGCTACCTTGTTGCCCGGCCACGGCCGTGGAGACGATCGGTGGCGGTAGCGTCGCCATCGCCTGGAGGTGCTACCCAAAGAGCGGAGAACTCGAGCTCCGTTGCACACGCTCAAGCTTAACGTCTGGGTTGCGCAGCTTTAGGACACTCCAGTGTGGATTTGGGCAGAGGGTGGCAGAGGGTGGCAGAGGGTTTGCCGATTGAGGTTCAGGGGTCAACTCCCCTGGCCTCCTCCACTTTGCGGAAGTTCTCCGCGGCATCAAGAGCACTGCACTTGTCCGGATGCCACTGCAGCGCCTTGGGAGCTCCATGCAAGAATGAGCGGTTGTTGATGTGCTGCGCGGGGCTTCCGCCTTCACATGGAAGGCGCGCCGGATCTGGCGGTCGGTGGCTTGTCCTCGATTTCAGCTCCGGCATTCTTGAAGCTTGTCGGCCGACAAATGGCAGGAATGGTGCAAACAGAGTCGACTCAGGTCCACACGGCCCAGGTTGAGGCGATGGAGAGCCTGCGAAGGCGACGAGGCGACAAACCCCTAGAAAGCTCCATGAAACCCTTAAAACCGCTTTGAAGCCCGATGGGTCCACATCACTGAAAGCCAATCTTGTAAACTCCAAGCCACAACGTCCTGTCCTAAATCTATGAGCAAACCCATAAGGCGAGCCAGCTACCACTGCTTAGTCGTATGCTGGTGTTCATGCGGTCTCGTAGGGGCCTACATCGTTAAGCTTTGGAAAGTTGGGGACAGGACTTATATACTTTAGCACTGCTACAGCAGCGTGGATGCCGAGCATCCCTACACCCTGACCCGACAGACCCCAAGCCCTAGACCCTAACCCCTGGACCCTAAATCGACAACGATCGGATGTTCAGGGAAGGGCGAGAAAAACCCAATGAAGGTCATCCTATGCTTTCGCTTTGTGGAAATGTTCATAGAAGGGTTTATCGCAGGTTCAAGATCAATGCCCACTGGTTCAGACGGTGATTTACTTGGAACCTTGTTTGTCCAAGCTAGCTTACGACATGATCAAAATGCGGAAAATGCCAAACTGGCACTCTCCATGCCTAGCAGAAAATGCAGTGAAGCTCAGTTGGGAGTGATTGCATGAACTTCTTGAACTTTGCCATGAAGCACAGCATAGTTGATACGTGCAAGACATATGAGCACAGCATGTGCTGCATTATGGCACAGTGCAACATCGTAGAAAATGAATGAACATACTGTACACAAGCAGAGCAAGTCGCGACGCTGTCA